GAGCCCTTCGTCAAGTACGGGAACTTCACCTCCAGCAACGGCAGCTACAAAGTGGGCACCACGGTGGAGTTTGCCTGCGAGCCCGGCTACACCCTGGAGCAAGGCTCGGTCATCATTGAGTGCGTGGACCCCGCCAACCCGCAGTGGAACGAGACGGAGCCGGCCTGCCGAGGTGAGGGATGGGGAGGGGCAGGGCGGGAGGAAGGCCGATCGTCCTGGCTTGTCAGGTGCCAAAGACCCGCTGGTCTGTTGCTACTCACGCCTAAGCAGGGGAGACTTCCCAACTCGTGGCCAGCACCTGCTTGGAGTTAGATACGTGTCAATGGGATTCAAGGGTGTCTGGACTTACTTAGTTCACTTGTGGCTATGTAGGGATTCTAGGCGGATGCCTCTTTTGACTCCGCCCCTAGGTTCTGCCACTCCTTCTCCTACACGGCTTCCCTTCTCATCTTTTTCACTTTCACATTTTTCCTCCCTCCCTTCCATTCCTATCTTAACAAAGGGGAAGGAAGGAAGGAGGGAGGGAGGGAGGGAGGGAGGAAGGGAGGAAGGAAGGAGGGAGGGAAGGAAGGAGGGAGGGAGAGGGAGGGAGGGAGGGAGGGAGGAGGGTAGGTAGGAAGCAAGGTAGGAGGGAGGGAAGGAAGGAGGGAGGGAGGGAGGGAGAGAGTAAAGGAGGAGGGTAGGAAGGAAGGAAGGTAGGAAGGACGGAAGGAGGAAAGGAAGGAGGGAGAGAGGGAGGGAGGGTAGAAAAGAAGGAAGGGAGGAAGGAAGGTGGGAGGGAGGGAGAGTGAGGGAGGGAGGAGGGAAGGAAGGGAGGGAAAGAAGGAGGGAGGAAAGGAAGGGAAGGAAGAAAGAAAGAAAGAGAAAGAAAGAAAGAAAGAAAAAGAAAGAAAGAAAGAAAGAAAGAAAGAAAGAAAGAAAGAAAGAAAGAAAGAAAGAAAGAAAAAGAAAGAAAGAAAGAAAGAAAGAAAGAAAGAGATCGAAAAACCCAGCATTGGCAAGGCCGGTGACCCAACCCAGGTGTGTGACCTGTTTCTCCCCTGTGTCCCAACAGCCGTGTGCAGCGGGGAGATCACGGATGCGTCCGGAGTGGTTTTATCCCCCAACTGGCCCGAGCCGTATGGAAAAGGGCAGGACTGCATCTGGGGGGTCCACGTGGAGGAGGACAAGCGCATCATGCTGGACATACATGTGTGAGTGGACGGCTTCTCCCTCCCCCTCTTTCGCACCCGGACCGGGCTCTCATTAAGGCGGGCAAACCAAGAGCAGGTCACGATAGCAGCCTTCCAGTATCTCAGGGGCTGCCCCAAAGAAGAGGGAGTCAAGCTATTCCCCAAAGCGCCTGAAGGCAGGACAAGAAGCAACAGATGGAAACTCATCAAGGAGAGAAGCAACCTAGAACTAAGGAGAAACTTCCTGACAGTCAGAACAATTAACCAGTGGAACTATCTGCCTCCAGAAGCTGTGAATGCTCCAACACTGGAAGTTTTTAAGAAGAGACTGGACAGCCATTTGTCTGAAATGGTGTAGGGTTTCCTGCCTGAGCAGGGGGTTGGACTAGATGACCTCTGAGGTCCCTTCCAACTTTATCATCATCATCATCATCATCATCATCATCATCATCATCATTATTATTATTATTATGTCAATCCTCGATTTACGACGACAACTGAGTCCAGAATTCCTCTTGCTAAGCAAGGCGGCTGTTAAGCGAGTTGCGCCTCGTTTTACGACCTGTTTGGCCGCAGTTGCTAAGCAAATCACTGCCGTTGTTAAGTGAATCATGTAGAATAGAATAGAATAGAATAGAATAGAATAGAATTACAGAGTTGGAAGGGACCCTGGAGGTCTTCTAGTCCAACCCCCTGCTCAGGCAGGAAACCCTACACCGTTTCAGACCAATGGCTGTCCAGTCTCTTCTTAAAAACCTCCAGTATTGGAGCCTTCACAGCTTCTGGAGGCAAGGAGTTCCACTGGTTAATGGTTCTAACTGGGAAAAACAGAGAATAAAATCCAATTGACGACCCAATTATCGGCTTTCCCGTGCCCGTGGTTTCCTTCTGCGCTGCTGTGAATTTGGCAGAGGGCTCCCTTGTTGACGCAGCCCCCTTTCTTCCCCCCCCCTTTGGGCCCTCCCCCCCGCTTGTCCCTAAAGGTTGCGCTTGGGCAAAGGGGACACGCTGACCTTTTACGACGGGGACGACCTGACGGCCCGCATCCTGGGCCAGTATTCCGGCTCCCACCGGCACTTCCAGCTCTTCACCTCCATGGCCGACATCACCATCCAGTTCCAGTCGGATCCGGGAAGCAGCGCCGTCGGTTACCGGCAGGGTTTCATCGTCCATTTTGCCGGTAAGCGGAGCAGCTTCAGACGCATCCCCCCCTCCCCGAAAGGCCTTCTCTGCTGAGCTTCCGACATGGGGGGGGGGGTTGCGATTACAGATCGTTCTCAATTGAGCCCCCAAAATTTCTGTCGCCAAGCAAGACAGTCGTAAAGCGAGTTTCCACCCCATTTTATGATTTCTCTTGCCTCCGTTGGTAAGAGAGCCTCTGCAGTTGCGAAGTGAGTCACACAGTCACTAAGCGAAGCTGGCTGCCTCCTATTGATTTGGCTTGCCAGAAGGTCATGGGACAACCCCGCCCCCCGGGACACTGCAACTGTCATAAGTACATGTCAGTTGCCAAGTGTCTGAATTCCAATCATGTGACCACAGGGAGGCTGCGAGGGTGGCTAAGTGTGAAGAACAATCCTAAGGTTTTTTTTCAGTGCTGCCGTAACTTCGGACAGTCACTAAACAAATGGTCGTAAGTTGAGAATTACCTTTACTGCTCCTGATGCTGGAGGCAATACCTAGCCATTCATTTAGACAAGGGGTGGAGTACTATGGCTCCCTTGATGACTGGTGGACTTCAACTCCCAGAATTCCTCAGCCAGCCACAAGTTGAAGTCCACAAATCTATTCTATTCTATTCTATTCTATTCTATTCTATCCCATAATTCTATTCTATTTTCTATTCTTTTTTCTATTCTATTCTATTCTATTCTTTTTTCTATTCTATTCTATTTTTTATTCTATTCTATTCTATTCTTTTTTCTATTCTATTTTCTATTCTATTCTATTCTATTCTATCCCATAATTCTATTCTATTCTATCCTATCCCATAATTCTATTCTATTCTATTCTATTCTATTCTATTCTATTCTATCCCATAATTCTATTCTATTCTATTTTCTATTCTATTCTATTCTATTCTATCCCATAATTCTATTCTATTCTATCCTATCCCATAATTCTATTCTATTCTATTCTATTCTATTCTATTCTATTCTATTCTATCCCATAATTCTATTCTATTCTATTTTCTATTCTTTTTTCTATTCTATTCTATTCTATTCTTTTTTCTATTCTATTCTATTTTTTATTCCATTCTATTCTTTTTTCTATTCTATTTTCTATTCTATTCTATTCTATTCTATCCCATAATTCTATTCTATTCTATCCTATCCCATAATTCTATTCTATTCTATCCTATCCCATAATTCTATTCTATTCTATCCCATAATTCTATTCTATTCTATTCTATCCCATAATTCTATTCTATTCTATTTTCTATTCTTTTTTCTATTCTATTCTATTCTATTCTTTTTTCTATTCTATTCTATTCCTTATTCTATTCTATTCTATTCTATTCTATTCTATTCTATTCTATTCTATTCTATTCTATTCTATTTTATTCTATCCCATAATTCTATTCTATTCTATCCTATCCCATAATTCTATTCTATTCTATCCCATAATTCTATTCTATTCTATTCTATTCCATTCCATATTTCTGCGGAGATACGGTTGGTGCAACCAAGGGGAACTGACAGCCTCCCACTGGGCTGGGTGTGGGTTAAAAGAGGCTCTCCTCCCCCCCCCAATCAGCTTCCAAGGCATCCCTTGCCAGCCCCCCATGCACGTTTCTCTCTTCTTCCTTGGCAGAGGTTCCCCGCAACGACACTTGCCCGGAGCTGCCGGAAATTCCCAACGGCTGGAAGACCACCTCGCACCCGGAGCTGATCCATGGGGCTGTGGTTACCTACCACTGCTACCCTGGCTATGAGCTGGTGGGCACGGAGCTCCTGATGTGCCACTGGGACCTGGTGTGGAGCGGGGACCTGCCCTCCTGCCAGAAAGGTGAGGGGGGGGAGGAAGATCTGGGGCCGGGAGGGGAGGAGGAGGAGGAGGAGGAGGAGGAGGAGGAGGAGGAGGAGGAG